GTGGCTCTGCCTGTGGCTCTGCCTGTGGCTCTGCCTGTGGCTCTGCCTGTGGCTCTGCCTGTGGCTCTGCCTGTGGCTCTGCCCGTGGCTCTGCCCGTGGCTCTGCCCGTGGCTCTGCCCGTGGCTCTGCCCGTGGCTCTGCCCGTGGCTCTACCCGTAGCTCTGCCTGTGAAGCTTTTATGTAGCTCTACCCGTCGGACACTGTCGGGCCAGAGGGACTCTTATCGTAGCTCTGCGCAATGTCCGTATCCAAGGTGCTCTACACCCAAAAAAGAAGGTTCTTGAATAAGTAATTAATTTCCTTGGAACAGGTCAGTGCACTTGACCCAATGTTTACTTGACTTAAGAACCTCCTTTGTGGGGTTGTACTCGGGCTCTAGAGTCTGGAGGGGGGGGGGGGGACTGGAACGACAGCGAACCTTCTCTTTTGAAAATGGCACTATGACGACGTTAATAATTATTGTTAGTCTTTACTGCTGGAAAGAAACCAGAATGTCTTTTGCTGTTTTCTTACTATATGATAGTTCAACTTCCCCTGGCTATATAACGACCATTATCGCGCAATATTTTGCTCACTCTTGCAGTTCAGTAATATTACCAAAAATGGTAGAATTTGGAAAGTTGCTCAGAAAAATTTAATAACTTTGTCACGGACCTATTTGAATTTTCGACGTGAGATTAAGACTCCATTATCACACGATTAAGTATTGGTTGACATGTTGACATTGAGGCACTAAAAACGCACACTTTCGTATTATTTAGAACTTGCTTTAAATTATGTCTACGGCATTTTTTGTTTTCATATTGAAGCTCGGTGATTTATCTATTTTACCGATAAGTCAACACCACGAGCATTATTTTACTGCCAGATTGTAACCCTAGCCTGAGCCCCCTGACGGACAGGTGTTTACCGAGGTAAACAAATTCACTCCCTCTCTCTCCGCGGTTCTCTCTCCTCGCTGGAATCGGTGTGTGCATCTCGCCTGCACCCCGCCGCCCCGCCGCGCCGCCACAGGCAGACCGTGTAATGATTAGCTTTTGTGTGTGGCCAAAAGGCTGCACGGCGCGCTGCTCCAAGCCGCGCGACGGCGCCAAGGGCCCAACTCTCGACGGCGCGACGCTGCGGGTCGGCGACCCCTCGCGCGCCGCCGAGCCGCACGGGGCCCCGTGCCGCGCTCTGCAGCTCCGCGCCGGGCGCCCTTCGCCGTCATTTTGTTGGCGAACCGGTGACGGAAAAAGTGCAATGCCGGCCCGGGCCGGACTGACTGGGGGGAACAACCCGACGGCACGCGGCCTGGCGTGGCCGCAGATGACTCGGCCCTTGGCGTCAGCAATAGGAGAGAAGAAAAAGACAACGATGTCGAATATTTCCTATCCAAATCAGAATAGGCCCGTGACCGGCCGCAAGAAGCTAGACAGGGCTAAACTGTAAAAAGTAGTCAAAGGTTTACGGGAAAAATTTTCATGATATGTGTCGTAAAATTACAATTTGAAATTGCTAATTTGCAAGCACTTTGCATCGGCTTGGTATTGATCGGCAAGCAACAATTGTCTATCGCAAATGCATATCACACTCATTGGTGAATTAAAATTACAACAAATGTTGTGAACTTACACAGATATGTGTGGGTGATGCTATCCCGCAAGGCACCTGTGCGCCGCGGGCCTGCCTACCCCGACCAGGCCATGACGCCTGGAGTGTGGGCGATGCTATCCCGCAAGGCTCCTGTGCGCCGCGGGCCTGCCTACCCCGACCAGGCCATGGCGCCTGCAGTTTGGGCGATGCTATCCCGCAAGGCTCCTGTGCGCCGCGGGCCTGCCTACCCCGACCAGGCCATGGCGCCTGCAGTGTGGACGATGCTATCCCGCAATACCCCTGTGCGCTGCGGGCCTGCCTACCCCGACCAGGCCATAACGCCTGCAGTGTGGGCGATGCTATCCCGCAAGGCTCCTCTGCGCCACGGGCCTGCTTACCCCCTCTAGTCCCCGGCTCCTCCGGTGAGAGCGCTTCATACTTCACGCACGTACCGGGTGTTGTACGGAGAGGCTGTGACGGTGTTTGTGTTTTACAGTTTGCTTTGTGTTTGTTACAGTACGTAAGTGATTTGCCCATTTTGATTGAAACACATTTAAAAAAACACTCTCTTAGTTCCTTACGAACAGCAGTGCTCGTACTACGAAAAATTGCGTTTGTAATGTTCAAAGGATCCGGCCGGAGCAGCCCTATTGCATACAAACGGTTTGTCTTCATAATTTTGTAATACAAACAAATTTCTTGTTTTGCCAATGCTCCAAATCCTTTAAACATTACGAAGAGAAGTTGAAACTTGCAGTGAATATGATTTATTCGCAAGGGTTGTTATTTCCAAATGATATAAAAATAAAATGTTATCTGTCTGCCCAGAAGTTTTTAAGAGGAGGGAATTCCTGAACAGCCTTTTCTTCCACCCAGGTGCGCGTGACCCCGGTCCAGCAGGGCCTCGTGTCGTCGTGTGCCCATAGAGTAACGTACCATGTGGCCGGCTGTGTCCTTGCGTCACAGCAGATAAGACGCCAGCGCACTTGACACTTCGGGGTGCGGTATGCAGTGCGGGACGCGAGGGGCACAGAGGGCGTGCTTTCTCTGGCGCGTGCTGCCCCCCTCCCTCTACCTGCCCCGCCCCCTTCCCTCCCTCACGCTCGCCGGGGCCCCACCGCCCGGCCGGGACCCCTTGTGGACCCTCTCCTCGTGATTCCACTCTCACTGGCTCACACTTTCAATTTCGTGGCTGGCCTTCGCCCGCCCGCCCAGCCGCACCCAGGCTAGTGCTGTAAACCAACAGCGCGCCGTCAGCAGCCGACGCTGACATGACTGACCAGAGCTGTCAGCCAGGTTTAGAGTAGCGTGGCATGAAAGAGACGCGAGGGAACGACGCCCACTCTTCATGCAAAGGGATTTTTGTAAATTCCCAACAATTTTAGAAACAATCCCTCCGGAAAATTGGAGTCTTATTTGCCCCAATTTTCGATTTGTTCTCGTCCCGTGCACGGTACTGCGTGTACAAACTGTTGCTCGATGCTCCAATTTTAATTTTGATATTGTCGTAGCTAGAAATAAGAACACATGCTGTTCAAACTAAGAACACATTTTTTTGATGTGTGTTATTGGGTTCGGTGACACAACGTTCGCTTCTAAGGTCAAAGGTGAAACCCCTGGTTATAATGTCGTATTTCTCTCTGTTACAGGTAATAAAGATGCCTGGCTTGGTTCCGAGAAGCCTAGTGAGTAAACACACGCCATCGTCTAGCATGAGGAAGCAGGAGGAGGAAATCTGTAAATAATAATATAGTTTCCCCCCGACAAACCCCTTGCCCTTGCACGTCCCCCGCTGTTGGTCTACCTTTCCCCCCATCTGGTATGAGTTCACCCCCTCGCCTGTAGGCTAATGTCTAATGCTGCTCCACGTTCCTCTTCCTCCTCGCTCCTTTTTCACGTCTCCACCCTCCTCCTCCTCATCCCCTTCGTCGTCCGTCTCATCTTCCCCCACTCCCCACCCGCCCCCTTCCCCCTTCTCTCTTCCCCGACTCCCCCCGCTCCGGGCGAGCGCGAGAGAAAAACAAGGAGTAGGGATGGAGCGCGGCCGGGCGGGCAGCGAGCGGCTGTGGAGAGTCCTTCAGGAAGCACTTTCTTCAGCCGCGGCCGGCCGGGCCCGCCGCCGGGCCCCAGACGGACGGTCGGACGGGCAGATGGGCGGGCCACGAGCGGCCAGGCACACTGACACAGTAGTGAGCGCACGCATGCGCCACGCAGAGCCAATATAATAACGTGTATTCTCCCACAACACATTTCTTCCTCGTCGGAGGAGAGTTTGTGATGAGGGGGCTAGGAGGGGGCTTGCTGGTGGGAAAGGGCAGGCGAGCGAGCGCGGCGGGTAACCGGACCTCGCCGCCCGTCCATATTAATGTAATCGAGTCGGTGGGTTTCATATTTCCCGCCACCTCGTCCAGATGAGCAGCGCAGAGTTTGAAAAATCCCGCGCTCGCTCATCTCACGGCGCGACGGCGACGCTGGGCGGTCGCGGCGGCGTCGGCGGCGTGAAGAATCGCTCCGTCGACCCCCCCAGGCGTTCAGGTCTCCGGACGGAACGCCTCCGCTCTGCTCCCGCTCGCCGTGATGATTCAAAAACTCTCCTGTGTGGGTGTGCCGCGCCGCATGGCACTCTGTCTGCCGTGCCGTGTGTGTCGTGTACTTCGAGCAAAGGCATCCAATGCACTGTAAATGACAGCCGGCGCCTGGCACCCGCGACATATAGCAGCTGCTTTCTGCCGTGCCGCTCGGGGAATGCCGGCGCGCCAAGTACCCGACTGTCCGATTTTATGAAGCGACGGCGGCAATTTTGAAATTGGCTGCGGTCCACGGGCGGCGGCGGCGACGGGCTGCCTCCGGAAGAGACCAGGGCGCGGCGCGGCGTGGCACGGCGGGCTGCCGGTATGCCCACCACCGCTTCATGGTCCCCCCGCAGTCCGGGCGGGATCAACTCTTTAGGGGCGCGGCGGTTGGACGCGCGGGGCGGGATGCAGGCGTGCCAACATCTTGACAGGCGTGCGCGCGCCCGGTCTTGGTCGCCGCGCCCGGCACCACACAAAATGGCTCTGTGATTTACAGGAGCACTCAAATGTCCCACACATTTGGCTTTCACCTCTCTTCCCCTCTCTTGCTCGCTGCTGCGCTCTCGGTTCCGGAAGAGACCTTTCTCCCGACACAGACTATACATTTTTCTGGCTCCGCACAACGCCGTGCTGCCGCCCGGCTCTCGCCCACGCAAAGGGGAAGGCCGTCGAAGTGCCGCCCGCGTCCGCCACCACATCATTGTGAAAAATGTTCGTGAGAGTTACGGCAAAAATTTTCCACGAAACATCATCATACTGCAGTGACGAACTTACAACGTAAAATTTCAAATTTAAATTGCAAATTTACGCATTCCAATTCGTTCGTTACAAAAAAAGTTGTATCATTGTTATGTATGGTTTTAGGAACAGCCCGGACATATACAAATGCGTTTGTATTTTTACAAGAGCCTTTATAAGTATACAATTTTACTTGAATCAAAATTTTGAAACATATTTGAAATTTAATTAGTATTATTGGACGTGATAAGAAAGGGTGGCGCAATAGACCCGAAAAAAGAGGGAATAAAGGGACAGAAACGGGTAAATAAACATAGGAAGCGGAAAATTTGAGTAGAATACGAGGGGCCGAAAGAGCAGGATTTGAATGAAATGTATTTCGGGCCCCCCTCCCCCCTTTTCCCCCGGCCATCTCCTAGCTCCTGTGTAGACTGCGTCCGTGGCGGGGCGCGGCGCGTGGGCCTGTGCTGGGCGGCAGACGGACTGTACCAAAGTGCATACCGCCGGCCCGGGATTCCCAGCTCGAGGCTAGACTGACTATACTTGGCAACGCTGCTCTGCTAGCGGCGGTAGTGTGGACCCACCTGGAGCAGCACACAAGCTGGCCGCGCGCAGCAGAGGGCGAGTGTAGGGCGAGGCGGGGTGGTGTGGCTGGAACGCCTAAAGGCGTTCCGTTGGCGCGGCAGCCGCACGGGGAGTGCAGCTTCCGGTCTGGCGTTCTCGCCGCGCGCAGCTCAAAGTGCCCCGGCCGTCGCCGGAGGAGGAACACCGCTGCTGTGAAGACTTCCCCGCCCCGCTCCACCCCGTCGCTTGTCTCGCGAACCACGCCGCCGAGACGCCTTGGCCCGGCGCCGCCGGCTGTGGCTGGACCGGTGATGCAACGAGACACTGGTCGACCGGCGCGGCGGGGCGTGGTGGGGCGGGGCGGGGCGGGGTGGGGCGAGGCGGGGCGAGGCGAGGCGCGGTGGGGCCCTTCAACAACCCCCAGCCGGACATTCAGGGCGGTAAACACGGCGGCGAATCCCCGACACCAAACGGATTGTGGAAGAAGCGGTGGCTTCTGGGCCACACAAACGTGTGCACACAAAGTCCTTTTTCGCATTTTGCTGTGCATACAAATCATACAGGATTTTGAGCAGCCATGATAATGCTATGCACAATTACATGCGTAACTATGTGCAATTCGTGTAAAGTTATAACTTTTATACAATGCAATTTGTACATAATTACGCATAAAACTTGTGCTTAAAATTTCTTCTGTTGTTAATGAAGAATAAAAAGCAAACGGGTGTAGTGTGTGGCGTTCGTCTTGGGTGTTCCACGGTGTTCTGGCGCGGCACGTGGCTGCGCAGGACCTGCAGGGCCTTGGGCCTGGCTGCTGCGCAGCGCAGCCACTTTCTTTATTCCAGCGCCATCAGCGTCCGACCGGCCGGCGCGGCGCATTAGTGCGTCGTCAGTGCCATCGACGTCGTGGAGCGCACCACACGCCAGGCTCTCTGCCGTGTAGAAGAAGAGGAAGAAGGGAAAAAAATTGGGGGAAAAAAATCGCAACTATGGTGCAGAAGTGACGCTAATGGCGGAGGTGATGCAGCCGCATGTCCATTTTGCCCGCGGATGCGTTTTCCGCGACTCGCTTGAGTGCTTGGGAGAGCTGCCGCCGTCTTATCGGACGCGGCGATCAGGCGGCCGGTGCCGCCCGGCGTCCGAGATGTTTTTCGTCCGCTCTGTTTGGGACGGCGACGTTTCGTAGATTAGTAAGTGTTAGCCGGGCAAAGTCTTTTCGGAGTCGCTCCACGCGCAGGCACCTCAAAATGTTACGTAAATTCTTAAGAAACTGATAACCATGCACTAGTAAAATACAAATTGTAAATTTTAAAGTGGAAGTTGTCCGAATTTGCCGCGTATGAAATATTTCCATACTTTTTTTCCGAGAAGACCGGGTGGGAAAAGGGGGGGGGGGAGTTAGTCGTGGGAGGTGGTGCGCTGCGCGCCCCGTCGTTTCCGCGAGGATAGAGAGGTGTGGAAGTGCGTGCGCGCGGAGGTGCGGGCGTGCGCGGGGCATTCTTTGGCGCATTCCTGCACTTCCGGTTAGTGGGGCAGAGTGAGCGTGATGGGCTGGGTACGGACAAGGCGCGGGCCCCCCGACCGAGACGGCTAGGCGGCATTTCATTGACGTCACCGTGGAACCGGTTATTCATTCCGAATCGCTTGGTCGCCGCGGTGCAGCACTGGAGTGGAGAGTCGCTCCGGCACGACGCCCGGATGCGCAGCGGCGCCGCGGCGCCCGCCCCGAGCCCTGCCGCCCTATCCGCGTCGCGACGACCAGCCGCAGGCACCACGCCTCTCTGTGGTGGGCGACGGGGAAGAACACGGAGTCCAACTGCTCTGACGAAGACGTGACCACATCCTCGTCAGGGACGGGCTTTACTGAATATCGGCACCTATCATAAATTTTGACACTTTTGTTAAAGTCAACTTTGGATAAGGCACTCTTGTAACAGTGGTAAGGCATGCTCCACTACTTTCAAGAGTGGGACATACTTTAACAGTATGTTCATAACAACAGTGGGACAGTCCCACTGTTATAACGAATTTTCATTGTTACAACCATAGTTTGTACTTTTACATGAGTACGAATCTCTATTCGCTCGCCTGCACGTAAATGAAATATTTTGCTGCCAGCTAGCAACCGGCAAAGGGGGTGAAAAGATTCATGAACAGACATTTAAGAAACGTTTGCACACTTCGATTTCCAGTGTCTGCGCTGCGTCTCACTGTTGCAACAGGTTGGAAAAACAATCTCAAAAATTGTTGTTAAGGGAAAAATCAGAAACTGATTTTCAAGTGGTGTATCGCGTTGAAAGACGAAAGACGAACGGGTACAGTTGTCACCACCTGTCTTGCTCCCCGTGACAGTGGAAACTCGCCGTGACCGCTGCGTTACGATTCCCTGTAAACTTTGTCGCGCAGAGCAAAGGAAATAAGAAACCAGTTTCCCTCTGCCGCCATGAATTCACTGATCATCCCGTCACGGGAACTTGTTCCATGTGCCCGAATGGTGTGTACAGCACGGCAGCCGCTCACCCCGTCCGGCAACAGCGTCCTGGCGCGGCGCGAGCTTTCCGAAATAATTGAAAACACGCTAGTGCGCGCGCGCCGCGCCGCCAGCACCGCGTCGAATGTGGCGTTTGCGTTAAGTCAGTTGATCGCCGACTGATTACCATCCTTGCCGTGTCTCGAGTGGCTCAGCGTGGCGCCGGCGTCCATGCAGGGGATTCGCGGGCCCTCCCCCCAACGAGTGTGATTGGTGTGTCACGAAAACGAGTAGCGCCCGACGAGGAGGACGAACCGTTCCGTTCGCAGTGGTCAAGGTCGTGTGCCGGCCAGCCGCCTTGCTCCGACTGCCTCGCCAAATCGCCTGCTGTGTGCGCGCGCCGTCTCTTGCTGCGTGGCCCTCTCGTACCAAGGTCAAGACGACCGTCTCCTCCCTGGCGCTGCCCCGCCCGCTCCGCGGCCCGGCACTACTCAGACCCAAAGCCTTATACAATAAAGGTTTACCTGAATGTCTCATATCTAACGTGCGTGCGGCCCGACCCCACTAATACCTCCCCGCAACAGCGACAGCTGGGACTCAAAGGATCAGCCAGAAATTACGTCCGCCACAAAACTGCCGAGGTCCGCCAATGCAAGGGTCTCTTAGCGCCTGATAGGTAGGCAACATCTTGCCTTCAGCGTGCACTGCAGGGTGGCCTACCCGGAGTATCGCAGGCGCCGAGCTCTGGTAATTTGCCGGAGGAGATTAACGGACTTACTTTCTGGACGATCCCCCAAGTGGAAATGGACGGGACCGGGAGTCTTGCGGGATGTGGTTCATCCGTGTTTTGTTGAATGACGCCAAGGGAAATTGTTCTTGTTTCAGGCAAGTCGGGGGCGGGTAAGGAGAGCCCCGAGCAGAAGAAGGATGACACCGAGCTGTGGAGCCAAGTGGAGGCCCAGGCTGCCTTCCTCGGGCCAAACCTGTGGGACAAGACTCTGCCCTACGATGCGGACCTTAAGGTAACCATTTTATTGTCTAATGTTTACGGGTGCATTTAATAATCTAAGTAGCTTGCAGCATGCTTTTCCTGTGATGGCATGGCAGTGCATAGCACTGACTGAATGATTGGAAATTTCCTAAAAGGCTCAATTTTAAATTAATGAATATTAATGAATTACCAATGTTTTGGTGTATGAAACTTTCTATTGAGTGAATGTTAGCCTACGGAATGCTTAAAACGCGTACATGGTCGAAGGACGAGCATGTTTGTCCCAAGCTATTAATACGTGTTGGAAAACTGTTGACTTTGTTTACAGCCTGGTACACCTTTAAAACGGCTCAACGGGATGAACCGCTTGCTATGAAGAGTCCTTTAAGTAATGTCGCTAGTTCAATGTACCGTTTACAAAATCTTCAGCTCACTATATGACATTTGACCGCTGTGTCGACAAGTGACGAGGATTCCACGGACTCTGCAAGTATTTTCGCCCATACTTCGCAACGACCCTACCGTTTATCTTTCCAGCCCAACGAGAGACAAAAACAAACAGCGACTGACTGCGAAGGTTCCTCATTGAGCTCAGACTGGCAACATTCACTTGCTGCTTGCTTCTGCAGGAAAGCTTTTGGGTTCGACTCACAAAATTAATTACAGACGAAAGTCTTATGTTTTATTCGAACCCTGCATGCACACCCGCCCCTATAACAGCGTACTTTGCATGCGTTGGGTTTTAAACAATTGCCTCTCTTTACCCTTCTTTCCTCCGGACGGGCCCCTGTGTTTCTCATGATGCTGATCTGCTGCGCACGGATGCGCTGCGCTCCCGTGGGTTGCCTACCCCAAAGGCGCCCCGAGACTCAGCAACGTGGAAACATGAGTTCCAATTAGAGTTCTTCATCATGTTTGATTAGAAGTTCTATTTTTATTATATTTTGCGCAAACGTTTGACCATTTAAACAACTCCTGGACATTAATGTAATTTATTAGTTGTGTATTAAAAAAAAAACTTTTACATGTCTTCGATATCTTTTTCTCATGACGGATCCGCGGCTCTATAGCCAAGTCTAACTGTGTGTTTGCTTGGCTTTCAGTACGTGGACCTGGATGAGTTCCTGTCCGAGAATGGCATACCAATGGACGGACCGGCGCCTCAGCAGGCACCAAACCTCATCGGCAGCACCAACATGTTGCCCTCTCCCGTCCCCGCCGCCGGCAACAGTCCGCAGCAGCAGCAACAGCAGCAGCAGGCACCCCAGCTGCAACAGCTGCACAAGCTGCAGGTAACGTACTGATGGGCGATGAGAGGCACGAAGGGGATTTGGGTGTCGGCTGGTGGTGGCATGAGATACAGCATGTTGAATTTGAAGCCTGGCAACACTCAGGGCATGCGCCGTGCGTTTTCACGATCCCTCTCTTTTGTGCCCGCAGGCGTTGTCACCAGACCCGGACACCAACAGTTCGAGCCTCGGTCTCCACGACAGCAGCCTGCTGCTCGGGGTCGGGCCCGACCCTCCTCTCACTCCCATTCGTCTCCCCACAAAGAGGGAGAGGTCCCTGAGCCCATCCGAGCCCATGACACCCATTGGACTCAGCCCTCCATCACCTGCAGACTCGAGTAGGTTCTATTTAAGTTACGTGCAACATGAACACAATTTTGAATAATGTTAACATCGTTATTATTTGTCTGTCTAGCAATGTCATTTGCATCATCAAGTCGAGATTTCGATCCTCGAACAAGGCCATTCTCAGACGAGGAACTTAAACCACAGCCCATGATTAAAAAGTCTCGTAAGCAGGTAAGTCAAAAAGCGACATGCGTGCTCGCATGCGTGTATGTCCTTCATAGTGTTACGTTTCAAAGTACCGTAACGCTGTTCGTGTCTCACATGTCAAAGTAGTACTTTGTGTTATTGTGGATTTAGTTCTTCTGTGAATTTTGTTATTCTAACCCACTGAGATTAGTCCGCAGGAATGCATCAAGGTGGGCTGGCAGAGGACGACATGCTCTCATTCAATGTGAGTTTGGAGAGAAATTTAGCCAAATAGGGCTCTTTAAAAATATTTCGCTGTCAGTAATCCCTTAATTCCATTAAATCAGCCCACCTCGTTAACATCATGTAGGAAACTTTCAGTCACATTACCCACGTTTGTAAATTCTTTAAAAAAAATGTTAAATTTCCCATTTGAAATATCGATGCTTATTTTGAGATGTGAAGCACGAACTTTGCTAGAAACGCAATTCGTTTTTGAATGAAAACAAATTAACGGCTGCTGAAGAGACATTTCAAGTTACCTACACTTATCAAAGTCCTCAAGAAATTACCTCACTTCATTTTGTGTTTGTATTTTATGTTTTTCCCAGTTCGTCCCAGAAGGATTGAAAGATGAGAAATACTGGGCTCGACGACGCAAGAATAACATGGCAGCAAAGCGTTCTAGGGATGCCCGCCGCATGAAAGAAAACCAGATAGCCCTGCGGGCAGGATACCTAGAGAAGGAGGTAAGTTGATAGCATCTGTTGTACTTGATTTGAAGTAAAAGGCGGAATAATAACAACACTTTAACTTTACAGAATATGGGATTAAGACAAGAGATTGAACGGTTGAAGAAAGAAAATTTGGTACTACGAGATCAAGTAGCAAAATTTCCAGCAGATGTGTGAGACACTAACGTGTTTCATCTGAAGAGAAATCTTTGGTAGGCTAAAATTAATCTCTAACTGCCGGTCAGCCTTTTGCACTCCAGGTTAAAGATATTGAATGTTAAGTCAACAGAGGTTAGAGGTAGCTAGTATGAAAGCTATTTTACTTATTATATTGTACATATTTACAAATGTTATTTTTAAGTACATTGCAGCCAATGTTATTTCTTTATGGTTTATAAAGACGGAATCGACTGCTGTTAGCGTATTTTTATGTTGTCCGTCTATGTTCGAGTTACTTTCACTGTTATTTCATTTACAGTCAACGCATCCTTTGAACAAAAATGTTTAATGTGTTAATTTTGGTGAACCAAATTAGTTCTATGACATCTGCAAGCCACCATCTTAAAATCTATTGATTTTGTATCAATTGAATGAACTAAACTATATGCTACCGACTATTCTCAAATACTATTAAAATTAGTATGATTTTCCAAAGGTCTGTAAAAGGGAAGATTGAATCATATGCACCTTCTAATGGTTTGTTTGTTGTTTATTCTCGTTTTTTCTTGAAGGGGGGGGGGGGGGATTTTGATTTTGATTGGTAATGTTGAAAAATTTGTGTCGATAATGAAATTGCTCTCTGTAAGAATCTGTGTTCGTTTCTTCGAATAGAGGTTTGGGCATTGTGATGTTTTATTCATACTTGTCGCTTAAGTAGTTGTGAAAGTAGTCGTAAACAAACAACTGATGCTTAAATATACTGCTACCCTGAAAGTTGAATGTTTGCAATCAACAGGTAGATATATATTTGGAGTGCTACCTCTGACTTGTACATACAAGCATTTTAAGTATCCATATTATATGTATGTCCAAAATATCCAAAAATGAAAGTGTCTTTTACGAAAGTGTGAATTTTAAATGAAATACTTGTAGACTAAATATGTGATATGCCTATCCGTTAAGGACGTCACCAGCGACATCGTGGTTACCATTACCCTACTCTTAGTGTGTGTGCGTGTGTGTACTGATGTGGAGGCAGACATCCATAATGGACAGCTTACAAACCTTTTGGTCGGGTAGATAGTAGTGTTTAGAGGTAGTTTTGTTATAAAAATATCCTTAGATCTCGCGGTTGCAGGTGTTGAAAAGCCTATTTTCTTACAGATGTACAATTTACTATTAATTCCATTGTAAATTATAAACCGAAGGCTCTCAGAATATTTTGCAATTGTGAGCATTGAAGTTGGCAGCTATGATTGTGCTGTTGTTTTTTTGTTGTAAAGTGGCGTATATGACTGGACTGACTGGCTTCTGACAGGTGTAGACCAAAGGCTTCGCTCTGAAGGGAAAGTCAGTGTAAGAAAGGCAACCGAGTACAACCTCGTGGCCGTGCAGGTTTGCCTACCCTACAGGGACTTCCCGACTCCCCTTTCCGACATTCAGATCAACTCTACGGCAGTTCGTGTTGCTCAGAAGTCCATAATTTACAAGATAGTCATGTGCCGACTTTGCCCTTACGTGCCAACATAACTCATAAATTTATTAACATGAAGTGAAGCTGGCATTTATATGCTTCACCTAGCTTCACCTCGCTTCACTTCGCGTTAGTTGATTCTAATGGATGATAACACCAGTCAGTCTTACGATGGTCGCTCATATTTTAGCGTCACTTTCCTTTGTCAGAAGAGTGCAAGTATACTTAGATAAGCATCATTTGTAAAGTGTAGTGAAGCCCAGGTATGCGGCCACCTTAAGATGACAAAATAGGCATTTGCACCTAAAGTTTGCTATTGGCACAAATCGTCAAGAAATTTGACCCTGTATTTATATTTATTTTAAAGGACGAATCATTACAATATGTTGCAACTCTTTGTCTTGGCCAATCATTTTATTTGATGTGCTACTTTTTAAAAATGTATAACAGCTGCTTTCTATTTATGAATATTCTGAGAGTATCCTGTATATTATATCTAGATTTATTTTATTTATTTTGATGATAACGTTGCAACAAATAAAAATAGCAAACGGGTGATGAGTCTGGAATGATTAAATTTTGTGACAAATGATATCTAAACCATGTGAGAGCTGTGGCAAATTCTGTACAAACATCATATTGCAAATGATGAAAATTGCTCTCTTTACAAGAAGGGTAAGTGTTGTTATAGCGTATGATTTTTTAGACCATGTCGTAGTGCAGCTGAGCTAAGAAGAGATTGATGTGGAAATGTAGGTACCGTTCAGTTTCACTGATAATTTGTTACCAGCAAAGCTAGCACGTGTAGTATTCTTTACTTTAAGAAATTTTGTGGGGTTTTCCTGTCAAACTATGAACAAAGACGTAATTATTGTAATTTTGGTGCTCAGCACAATGAATTTCATTTCTATATTTATTTCTCAGCACTTTTCTACGAAGCCTCAATGTTTCTTATTCTGTGCTTGATCTATATTACATGCGTATCAGTGCTGTTTCAGTGTGCAATCCACGGTGATAGATGAGAATTGTCTTGTTTTTCTTTCATCTTTATGTTTATTTAACTTTTCTGTCCAGTAAGCTACCCTTAACAATTTTATATTCTTTGATGTAAATATTTCATTTGATACTGCTTGTTTCTTGTAGATACTTCTTGTTTGTTTTGATTTGTTGAAGAGTGTTTACCCTGAGAACTTTTTTTTTATTACTGTGGAAGAGTGATGCATTGTTGAGGTTTTGATTCGATTATGTATCCCGTAACCAGATAATATATGATAGAGCATTCATTAGCTTCTCCTAATGTTTGAAACTTTGTGGATTGGATCAGCTGAATTTAACAGATTCTGGGAAGGCAAAACATTTCCAGAATAATTACATGATATGCTGGGCATCTAATAAAATTGGTTTGTGAGGATTTATTGAAATGAAGTTTATTATTTGTTCTGTATAACTTAAAACGTTTAGTATGTGTTAAAGTTTTAAACTTCTGTGTTCTTATAAGCTTGCAATGAAATTTCGCTTTTGAAAATATATCTTAAAACCAGCCGTAGTTTCAGTGCTTTTCTCAATTGGACAGTTTTGGTGTGACCTCTATAAAATAAAAGTAATTCCAACACAATACTTTGATACTTCATTTTCACCATCTTCTCTTCCTGTAGTGCGTGCAAAGGGCATGATCCGGTAATTCGATATAATACCAGTGAGGGACTGGCCCAGGCGACTAGGTTCCCTAAAAGCGTCCCCTCCCATTTTCCTCCTATGGGGCCCATCACAAAACAGGCGATATAAAAGAAACACCCTAATGTAAGGGATACCCCAGTAGCACAGAATTGTCGTACGACTGTCGTACATTATTCGAAAAAATGATACGGACTATCGGTGCCTTAAACAAATTGAAAAAAAAAATTTCTATCGCTAAAATGTCTTTTTTCCTCGAAAACCTTTATCGACTAACTTTCGTTTTGAAAGCGAGGAATCGCTGATGTGGATTCAACCAGGAATCGATAAATAAATAACATAATGTTAGAAAGTTGAAATCCGATAGACCAGCGACAGTCGTTTTTTACCGTCGAAAACCCATCACTGTTTTATCTTCGTTATCGTCAGGATAATTGGCCAATAGAAACGAGGAGGGGGACTTTGCTTTCTGGTAGAGACAGTCTAAAGGGGACTGTCTAAAAATAGCACTTTGTGCGACGGTTTCGTGTTACTAGGGTAGGCAATCGGTAATACCCCTGATCCCCCAGTCCATCCCCGTCTGATATTCCTGTCTCTTCACTATACTGTCTGAATTATTGTCAAACGTAAATTAGTTAAAAGCATAGTAAATAAAGCTAAATTTAAAAAAAACGTCGGTATACACTGGGTGTCGCGTAGGGCTTTACACAGTTTTTGTTTATTGGTCGCGGTTCTGGGTTCGTTCTTCAAAACCTGCTAGCGTCGGGCTGGGCTGGGCAGAGCCTCGAAAAGAACGAGTACAAACTACGACTCACGAGCTGTGTGAGGTTAGCGCCGAGCGGGTAGGCAACCCATCTGGCCTTACAGCTGGTTGTGTTGCTGGGCAAGCGAGTCGAGGAGTACCGCTTTGCTTACCAACACATACATGCATACACTTGGGTTTCCAGAGTAAAGAAGACAAAAGTATGCCCGAAATTTGCAGTTTCTATAAAAGATGGCAGTTTTACCCGCAAAACTAAATACCTTAAGTTCAAGGTAAAAAATCTTTAAGCTTTACAGTTCCAACTAAAAAACTAAGAACACGATACCTTAGACTAAAAAGCACGCAGCTCATCCGCGCGTTTCGAAGGGCACGCAGTTCAGCCGCCCGTTTCGAAAGACACGCAGTTCAGCCGCGCGTTTCGAAAGACACGCAGTTCCTATCTCTATAGCGGTAAACTGCGTGTCTTTCGAAACG